CATAAAATACGCCTGGGATACACCTGGAGGGAAAAAACCACACCTGGAGGGACTAAAAACACATCTGGGGACACCTAAAATACACCTGGGGTACACCTGGGAGTGATAAAATACATCTGGAGGGGGGAAAAATACACCTGGGATACACCTGGAGGGGCAAAAGTACACCTGAGAGTCATAAAATACACCTGGGATACACCTGGGATACACCTGGAAGGGGTAAAATACACCTGTGAGTAAAAAAATACACCTGGAGGGGTCTGGGATACACCTGAGAGGGGTAAAATACACCTGAGATACACCTGGAGAGGTCTGGGATACAGCTGGAGGGAGAAAAATACACCTGGAAGGGGAAAAATACACCTGAGATACCCCTGGGGTACATTGGGATACACTTGGGATACACCTGGGAGTGATAAAATACACCTGGGATACACCTGGAGGGGTCTGGGATACACCTGGGGATACCTGAGAGTCATAAAATACACCTGAGATACACCTGGGTGTCATAAAATACACCTGGGGTACATTGGGTTACACCTGAGAGTGAAAAAATACACCTGGGGACACCTGGGATACACCTGAGAGGGGAAAAGTACACCTGGGATACACCTGGAGGGGTGAAATTACACCTGGGAGTTGTAAAACACACCTGGGATACACCTGGAGAGGTCTGGGATACACCTGGAGGAAGAAAAATACACCTGGAGGGGATAAAATACACCTGGAGAGGGGGAAATATACACCTGGGAGTGATAAAATACACCTGGGATACACCTGGGATACACCTGGAGGGGGAAAAACACACCTGGAAGGGGGGAAAATACACCTGGAAGGGTAAAATACACCTGGGATACAATTTGGGGACTTTTTTGGGTGAATTCAGGTGGATTTTGGGGCGATTTCCTCCATTTTTGACCTAAAATCTCCGGGTTTTTTTCTAATTTATTTCAATTTTTTAATTTTATTTTTAATTTTTTTTTAATCTTTTATAATTTTTATATAATTATTTTAATTTTTTTATCCCCTCAGGGTCAGTGTCAGTGGCGGCAGCCGCCGGGGCGGGAGATTTATCGCAAAGGGAACATTTCTGTCTACGAGGTGGATGGGAAAGACCACAAGGTACGGGAATTTGGGGAAAATTTGGGAAATTTTGGGGAAATTTTGGGAAATTTGGGAAAATTTT